TCTGGCCATAAATTTCCCACCTAAGGCGGACCCTGACGAGCCAAATCTTTCAACGCTCTTTAAAGTCTCAGGACACAGGCATTCGGACGGTTAAAATTAAGTGCGTGAAGTGATTTATGAGACTCAGAGCCAAGTCCACCAGACTGTCCCATCCCACACGGCAGGCATCCCGCTTCCCCAGGACCCAGCACCCTGCTGAGGATGAGGGCTCGACAGCCACTTCGGCTCCCAGCTGGGCACTGGGGCCAAATCCTGCCGTGCCCTCCGTAACAAGCAGGGACCCAGTCCCTCCTTGGCTCACCACGATCTCCATCGTGCAGGAGAGGGGTGGAGCACTGCCTCCCCATCCCATCTGGACCCCAACATGCACCGGCATCAGATGTCACCATTCTGTGCACCCTTTTGGTCCTGTTGTCCTTGTTGAAATACAGACAGAACCAGATTTAAAAAAAATCCCAACAAATTTAAAAAATCATTTTGTGGCAGAGCCTGCTTCACTGATCTGATATCATCCTAGCGTTTTAAGGGGGGCATTTCACTATGATCAAGAAGACAACATCAACTGCAGCTCACATTGAACCCCTGTAACATCAGTGGAAAAGCATTTATTTCCTGGTCTTTTTATTTTGTGCTTGCATAAAAAGTGTAATTTTTTTTTCTCCTGAAAATACATCATAAGAAATTGCAAAGAACAAATTCCTTAATTTTTAAAACAATAACAAAAAAAATAAATAGTTTCCAAAACAACCCGTTGGCTGCCCCCCTAAAGAACTCACTTAGGAAGTGCTCTTCCCCGGAGCCGGCTTCTCATTAAACTACACTTCTGAGTTTAATAAAGGTAGAATTGGCTTCACTTTAATCCTGCACTGCCTTTTTTGTTGCTCTACCTGCCACATACTCATTGCCATAATGAAAAACTTTATGAAACTGCAGGGATACAGTGTACCTTCATAAAGCAATAAAGGAAGACAACCTTTTGGACCAGGAATGCAAATCCACAGCCTTTCTGTCCACAGCACCTCCTCCCCCAGACCAGTCCACAATATAATGTTTAATTATCATAATCTGTCCCCTGAGGAATATGTGACGGCGGCAGCACACTGAAGCCACACTGCATGTGACCAGCAGCTTTATGAGCTACAAAACCAGGCAGCTTTATTTCACCCCGTGATACAGAAGACGTTTCAGCTGTGTTTAAGCCTGTCCCAGGGTCTGATCCTGCTCCAGCTATGCCTCAGCTGGTCCCTCAGAGGTTTTTTACAGGAAGAGGGAAACAAAGTCCAGGGTCCTGCGACCGGCTCGCCTGGCTGCCATCACCCCTTAGCAGGGCAGGAGCCTCCTCCAGATGCTTTCTGGGCAGGGGTCTCCGCCAGTCTCCACGCTCGCACCCACCTCGCTCGGGCAGGATTGGACCCGCTATCAGCAGGAGGTGGACTTACTTGTGGGGCAGCGTGCACTGCACGCGGAGATTTCTTTCTACTCGAGACCGTTTTTAGCTTTCAAATTAAGCATCCTCCGTAATCTTAAATATTCTGGTCTCCTGACTCCCAGCTGCATACTCCTAACAGAAAAAAAAAAAAAAATTCCAGAAAGGAATAGTTACAGAAAATGAGTGTATTCATTATCAGAGTGGAAACACCTTGTCTTTAGCCATTAATTTTAAGGGAAATCAGCAGACCTCGGTGAAGCAGGAACACAACCTTATTGGGTTTCAAACACTTTTTTTTACAATACTGTGTCAGGAAAAGCCATTAGATAGAGTTGTATTAGTAATCTGAGCCATCTTTGGAGAAAAACAAATGCTGTTCTTCCCATTATAGGTAGGTATTGTTTCAAAACCTATAGAGACACGCTTGCTTGTGCTGCAATGGCATTTATTGCACATAGACCAATTACTTACACAGTAGTAAATTGCACCAGAGTTTAAATATGCTATAAAACACACACAGAGAGGAAAATGGAAACGACACACAAGTGCCAAAATAACAGCAGATTTACGTGGGCATTTGGAAATAAAAATAAAAATAATAAAGTCTCTCTCAATATTTTAATTTATAATATGGGTATATTTACAGTACCTTCACAAAATAATTTTAAAAAAGTCACTCTCTCAATAAAACTATAGCAGATCAGACAAAACCAGAAATCAGTTTCAGGGTCGGTGTTATTCAAACCTGTTTCATTTTTAATTTGCATGTGTGTACATGTGTGCAGGTAACACCTCCAAATAACTTTACAACTCTTAACACTGTGCAAAAAACGGCTTTGTCGCTGTTTTAAAAAAAAATGTGCAGTAAATTTTTGTTGTTGCCAGGATTTTTTTTTCCCCTTGTTCATCTGTAACTACACGGAACAAGCTGCAGAAGGCTCCTCGCCTCCCCCTCACTCCTTTTTCATAAAACACTTATTAGTGGCATGTAAATATGCTGTTTAATATAAACATGGTCTGTTTATTCCCCTGTACAATATGCACAGTTTGAGGTAGAAGTTTCTCAGCCTGACTGCTATTGTCTGGCTGAAGGAGATAAGCACAATAACTCACTGCTTGCTGATGCAGACGGAAAAAACACAGGAGCGTGGGTTGTTAAAATTTTTTTTTTACCCCCTTTCAAAATATACCTGTGCTCCTCATTATTTGACTCCATTACTACTCCGAGCTTCAAACCCATGTTGCCTGCAGGTCCCTATGCAGCGCCTGGAGCACCTGCAGCACGGA